ATTTTTCGAATTTTTAAATTTTTTCATTTCTGGATTTATCGAGATTTGGCTGTTTCGATGTTTTGATTGCTCAATTTCTCGATTTATCAATTTTTCAATTTTTAACTTTTCGATTTTTCGATTTTGGCCTATTTCGGTTTCTCAAAATTTTTCGACATTTCGACTTCTCGATTTCTGGATATTTTGATTTTTCGATTTCTCTGTTTTTCTATTTTTTGCTTTTCGGATTTTTGGTTTTTCGATTTTCCAGTTTTTCGATATTTCAATTTTTCGATTTTTTAAATTTTGGAGTTTCGATTTCTCGATTTTTCGTTTTTCGGTTTTTAAATTTTAGATCTTTGTAGGTCATTTTTTCGATTTTTCGATTTTCAGCTCTTGGATATTTCTATTAATTTTTTTTATTTTTTAAATTTTACATTTTTCGATTTTTCAGTTTTACGATTTTTTTTTGTTTCAGTTTCTTAACATCTTGGTTTTTCGATTTTTAGATTTCTCAATTTATCATGTTTTCGATTTTTCAAATTTTCGATTATTTTAATTTTTTATTTCTTTTATCAGTCTTAATATCATACAATGTATCGAAAAATACCATAACAATTGTCACTAAAAACATTTAAAATTTCATACAAAGTAGAACACAATGTTTCGAAAACATAAAAATAACTACGTTTTCTCAAAAAAAATCCATTGGATTATTACGACTTCAACAATATTGTTAATTTAGAACCTTTTGCTAAAATAAAACACATTTAAAGAATTAATGTGACTTGTGATATTATACTTGTAAATAAAACCATCTAAATATGTACCACAAATGTTAACTTATTCGTTATAAAATCCGACCAAACAACTATTTCCCGCAGAAATTATAGTCCAAACCAACCAAATCGCTTCTGAACGCTTCGAGTCGACACTCGCCTAAGCAAGCTCTGGTCTCTAGATCAAACAAGTTTTCAGGCGACGAAATGACATACCTTCTAAGAAAAGAGAGGGCGGGGCAAGTAGCTGCTAAAATAAGACATAAATAAACACTTCAAGTTTCTATTACTGAGTGCTGAAGGACATTTTATCCCGTTAGTTATGCGTTTTAAATATATTTTACATTGTCCGACGGCGCAGGGGCTGCGGGGGTGTTAATTATGCCGCTGGTTTTTACTTTTCAGAGGTTCTCACATAGCGAAAATCGTAAAATCAAATTTTATAATTTTTTTAAACAGCTGAATTTGTCGTCTTTATTTAATTATGATCAAATAAGAATAATAATCATATTAAAAAAAATATTTTGTTCCATTGTGGATTAATTATTAATTTTTGTATTGTTTCATTTTTCTCAATTCTACTTTTCGGTTTTTTAGTAGGTATTTCGGATTGTTAGTCGGATTGTTAGTCTAGTCAAACATTCTTTGGTTGTTCGTTTTTGCTATAAAATTAACCATACGATTTTCTCCATTTGGAATCTACAGAGTAATTCTACGTAGGTAGGTGGTGTCTTGAATGAAAACCGTTATTATCCTAACCCCATTTTTTTTTTACACCAAAAATCTTTCTAGACAACGTGGTCGGTTGAGTTTTCGTACTATGTTGCCAGTTGGATGGTTTTTTAATTTTTGAACATATTGCTGTGGGGTAACAAGGTTGTGAATAAAAATTTGCAAATAGCATATTTTTATTTATCGTGTACTAAGTATCTTTTACAACTATTTTCCTTTGTTTCTAACTAGATTTTCCATTTTCAATAGATATTTAAATTTTGTAAACATTGTGAAGTATGTCTACAGTTAACCTAAAACTTAATCGATGACAGATGACAGTTACAGTGTCAATTATAAACAACAGTATGGATGAATAAAACACATGCGTTTTCTGCTACGCCAATTTGATGACTTTTTCAATTAAGCACCCATTACTTTGCTTTCAGACAAAGATGTCGTATCCAGTTATCTCAAAAGACAGAGCTTTTGTTGTAGTAAAAATATATCTTACACTGTGATATATAACTGTATTAAAAGTAAAGAATTCAAATTTAGTTGAATGAGCGTTTGTACTTCTAAGCTGATCGCCTTTTGCATGCTCTATAACATACTTGCTTTAGAATCTCGTTCGAAGTGAACACGTTAAAGGAATGAAAATGAATTGAAACGTCGTTTTTATTACTTCATCGAATGCCCATGTAGTTCGTCGCAAATTGATTGAAAATGGTAAGGGCTTCGGTTGCTTCAGCAGATTAGAACTGTAGAATTTGTGTAAAATTAATTATCGTTATTGGCCTTTAAGGGAATATTAGACTCTGAAAAAGCGAATTTTAATGTCTTGAAATCAATTCAAATTAATTGTAACCAGTTAATTGTTAAAAAAATGGCAAAATGTGTCCGCAAAAAATACATTATAGGTTGCATATCTAAAAAAAAGAGTATAAAGTATGATAAGTGTTCGAGCTTGTGATTATTATGCCGCGTCTGGACGGGGATATGAAACGACATAGCAGTGGAATTTTGCAGTGTAATGGCTCACACAACGAGCCATTTCATCCAGCATGCGCTACTTTAAAGATAAGAATCTAAAATGGTTTTGTTATAAGTGCTCTATCAATAGCATAGATATAATCGTGCTTTTCTAACAACATGAAAAATAGAGCCAAGACCTTGAAGACAATAAGAAATGGATCGAACAACGACGTAAACAGAGGCAGAAATCTAGTAAAAGTTTTGAGCTACGTGGAATAGCTACTAATGAAAATGGAGGACTCAGTCCTGGCAAGGAACGTCCATGTTTACGTCAGCAGTTTTGCACAAATAAATCCGACATAATGTAGTACTTCCAAAACAAATTCCGCTTGTCGCAGCTCGAGGTTGAAAAATTTCGAAACGAGAGGGAGACCTTTTTTTAAAAATTACCTACTGTTGATTAAGTTTCACTTCCAGAATTAAATTATGCTTAAGTGTCCTAAAGGCATGTCAAGTGTTTACTAAAGGAACACACAGTCCTCTGAAATTTGTCAAGAACAGTTTCTGAAAATTAAAATGACTAATCAGTAAAATGCCTGGCGTTGTAACATGTTTTTAACAATCAAATATGGCTGAAATTATGTGTTCAAATAAACAGGATTCGTTCAAATGAAATTAAGGCAATTCATTTAGAAAATTATGTTCTAGGGACACTTCAAACAAATTGAACGATTCTCATGGAGACGTAGCAATTTTTTTTCACAGATTGTGTTGTCGTTCTGGAACTTCTATCAATAATAAGTTTTCTGCCTAAGGTAGGTAATTTACCCATTTATTAATTAAAAATGTATATAAAATGAGCTGGGTGTTTGAATTTTAAATTTCAACAACGCGTTTCAGTATTTTTTTCTTTTCAAACAAATGTGTACATTTATTAAACAAATAGCTTCTGGCACAAAGTTAATTCTGGCTTAGCTAATGTATAAAAGTTCAACGACACTCTTTTGTTGAAATTTGTGCGCTATATTGTTTGTGATATTTCTACAATTAATAAACCATAATGTAGAAAACACTTTTGCTGTTTTTTTCCTATTTCTAACCCATCAGATAAGGACACATTTTATGAAGTTTGTTTTATCATCATGTGTCAACCTAAATATAAACTTTACGAGTCAGTTTTAGTAATTTCGTTTTAGTGCTACATAGTGCCTATGATTATCACGTCATAGGTGGCAGACCACAAAATAATTGACCGCTTTATATCGAATTACGTCATTGAAATTCGCGTAACAATGAATTCAGTGTGTCTTTTTTTTGGATAAGGTCGTCACTTATGAGGTTTTTTACTTTTATTGTCGCTGAACTTAAAAGTGGTGTTTTTTGTCAAAATGTTGAATCGAAATAGACCTCTATTAACGCAAGTAAACAAGAATATGGTTAAATTTCCAGACGAAAACCTTGTTGACCTTTCGTTAGTTTTGCACACTGGACGTATTTTAGGTAGATTTGTGACAGTGGGAAGTGTAAACAAAGGAAAATCGATAAGAATAATTAATGTTAGTGATGAAGTTGTTGAAGACCTTAAGGCTAGGTTAGAATTGTCTCAGTAAATCATCAACCAAGAAAATGAGCTTGCAATAAATTGTCTAGATGAAATTGCATTTTCATTCATATCGAATAATGGTGAAATAACTGTCCAGAACACCCATAATAAAGATGTAATGTTGGATTTAACATAATTTTTGACGAAGTATCGAAAATATTATTTACTCTCTTACTAACCAAAGGTCAAGTAGGTAAAATAAATTGAGTAGAACGTCTTTTTGCATGTATTATTGACAACCAATTTATCTATTAATTAAAAAAGATTTAAAATACAATTTCCCGATTTCATTTTAGGAGGATTATGTTGAGTCTTTTTAATAATTCTCCTCTGCGACAGATGGATTCAAAGTTTGTGGTAAATTTTTGATAACGATCGATCTGCGAGGAATTTGCTGCATATTCTCAACAGCGAAATATCTCCAAGGTCTAGCAACAAGCTAATCCCCCGATCAATATGATCCTAAAACAACAAAGGGTTCTTGAAAAGGTAGCAAATCTATAACTTGACAATCTGCTCCGTTTTAACACGCTTACGTCTGATGGAACTCTAAGCTTCAAACTGAATTACTTAATCACGAAACTTTTACCATCGACTCAGAATATAAATTTAAATTAGTTGTTCCGAATGAAATAACAAAGTGCAAAGAGATTTGCGACAAGGGTAAGAAAGAAATAATTTCGGATTTAGATGCAGATTATGCAATGAAAAATTTTCGCAACCGAATTGAATTCGTTTGTGCACTTTGGAGTGTAACAATTTATAAGTGATTCGAATGATAAATGGCACGTCAATCCTGCAGCGGAAACACTTTTCCGAGTAGCAGGAAATCACGTGATAGAGCTACACATACACTCACAAAAAGGACATGCTCCTCGTTTTTTCTTTTGTCGTAAATAAACTACTTGTCGCCGCGTTTCTTCCTCGAAGGGAATAATCTTAAAGGAACTCACCTAAATTGATCCCGGGAATTTAACGTTTCTTGTTTAATCGATAGGATGACAGGACCTAAATCTTCGTCGTTGGTGAAGTAGTTCCAGTGTTCGGTACCGTAGAAATATTTCTCGTAGGTTTCTTGTTCCACGCTGGTAAGCTCGAACCCTTGATTCTTCTCCCATTGTTCTTCGATGGTGGTTTTCTTACGAGGGGATGAGGAGTCGTCCTCTTCGTCGTCTTCGTAGAGGTCATTGCAACCTAAGTTTTTGTTATATATCAGAAGTTTTGCGAGCATGCGAATTTTTTTATATTCATAAATCAAAACACAAAGGATTACTCAGTCGATAAATCTTTGAATGATTTATTAAATCGGTTTTCCAAGGTTTTTAACTTTGTTTCGACTATAAATATTGTGTTTTAAGCTCCGCGTACAAATTTATGGAGCCGCTATATTATTCAGGTTTTAGTTGGCCCCAACGCATATTCTGAAACAATGTTACCAGACATTTATTGGTGGGTTTATATTCGGTAGGTGTTATTAAATATGAATTTAGTCGATATGTAACCACAAGGGAAAAATTTATATCATAATTAAATACATATCTACATATTTTATGATAGTTAGTTAATTCTGATACATATTGCTACATTACCAACACTGTAACTAACTATATTTAAATTTGTGTATAAAACGGTTTCATAGGAATTGTTATTCTCGTCTCTGTCTTCACCGTTTGCATATTTTAAGGGTGCAGGTATGGATTGAAATTGGAACTGTGTAAATTAGATTCCACAATTTAAATAGGAAATACTTAGCAAAGTTTTGAGGTGACGCTTTAAATTTTTGGTGGGGATGATTTTCCAGACTTTCTGACCACAGAAATAAATTTTTATCTGAAATTAAACGAAATTAAATATCTAAAATTTGGTATATTAAAATGAGCCGTGTAATAAAAATTGCAGTGGTTTCGTTGCTGTCATCAACGGACACCCTTCAAGTAAAAAAAATGGAATTCTCTTTTATATTAAAACATGTCGTGAATTATTTACTTTAAATTAACTTACTTTGAACAAGTTATGAATTTCTAAGAGTTTTCACATTGCCAACGATTCTAAACATTTGAAATTACATGATTAAATAAATAAAAACGCTGTGTATTTCCCATACACATAAACGTATGCAAATTGAACATTAAAATTTATGCCGTCGGCCCTATCCTATGTCATATAAAATGAATGGATGATGTGTTTTTAGAATTAATAAATATAGAAGTCAAAACGACCAAAAAAAGCTACCATAAGCCACCAGTGCTGTGATGGATTGCATTATTTAAATATGTAATACAGTTACCGGCAAAGGTCGTAAAGAGGGTTTATTAATAAATTCTAGTTCTGCATTATTAAAGAAATAGTGGTGATACATGCAAATAAATATTATGATGTTCCGTAAACACGAATTAATATGCATTGTTCTGCATAAATTTGCAAAATTGTAGGAAAATATTTTGCATTCCGTCCCTATCAATAGGACGCTCCAGGAATTTCATAATTCGCTAACAACACAAATTCATACATAGTAGATCAATCAGAACGCATTTGGTACGATGCATTACTTGATTTCTGCCCCGATCACGCCCACTGGGTGGATGAAATTGATTCAAATTAATACGGATAGTAATAATTAATTGCATCGCATGAATATTTTCACTATCTAGTGGAGTGCAAAGTGAATACTAATTAAGTTCTATTGATAAAAACAATATAAACGAAGGGAAGCTAATTCAGGCATAACAGAAAAAAATTACTTCTATGAACTACACATGCATAAGTCATTTTGTCCAGTTGATAAAATTTTTTAAAGAGTTTTGTGCAATAAAATATGAAAAACTTAGTAAAATCTGTTGTTGCCATAATTAGTCATTTATCAGTGTCATAACTTCATAGGTGAACAAAATGCGTTATTATAGTGTTCAAAATAAGAATGTAAGTTGAGTGACGGCGAAAACATGTAAACGTACCAAACGTGCCAGTGTTGCGATCACGTGTCATGATTACACTGTTATTGGTCGGTTATGCAATGACAGTGACAAATTAGATGAGTAAGAATGTTATGCAAATACTAAAAAAAAATGAGATTAGCTTGCATTAAATTATAAGTTTTTGTCTCGCAGATGACTATCGCAAATCAGCAGTGAACTTGGACAAAAGTGAATTAATTATTCAAAGAGGGGTGATATAAAACATTAGGATAGCGTGATCAATACAGGATATTATATTTCGTATTTTTGTGTTTTATTAATTAAATGCCTGGACTAAATTTACACTGTAAAAATACATATGTATTTATTTCTGCTTGTAAAATAATTTAGAGAAAAAAAATCTCTAGTGACTTTTGAAATTTATAAAATAATGTTGGCAACACCAAGGCGTTCTTTGTTCAGTTTGACAGTTACGGTCAAATAACTCTCAATAAAATGCTACTATCATAATTATTAAAATAAATTTCATGTCCTATATAAATCCTGCATTTGAAAGTTAAAATCATCCCCATTAACAACTTAATGATGTCTCCTCATCATTTTGTGCAGTACACGTATCTATTTTTTCTAAAATAATACCTATACTCTGTACTTGTAGTTATGAATCCGTCTTCATTTTGTCACAATTACTTTATCAAAATTTTTATGGCCAATATTTTTCAGGTGTTTCATGTAGCCGATGCATACAATACTTCGTGGGCGAGTTCATTAATTGGGGATTATCGGACTTGTACTCTGGCTCTTCCAATTTAATCCTTATCGAATCTTTTTGTTTACGCTCTGACTGATTTTACCAATATTTTTCAAGTTATTGTCATAGAATAAATGAAACTCAAATGTAAAATCATATTTTATAATTTTTTAGAAAACAAAAATGGGATTTATTCGATTGTATTTAAGGGGCGAAGGAAGTTCTGCCTAAATAACTTTAGGACATTTTCTTTTAAATTATGGATAAACGATCAGATGCATCAAAACTGACTGAGAGAGTTGGTATTCCCTGTTTTTGCCGTTAAGTTTGTGGAACTTCTGACAGATTTGTGTAAGGTTATGGCATAATTAATCCAGTGGCACGGCAAAAAAGCTGCTTCACACTCACCCCTAAATTTAGGAAAGTGTTCTACAATAATAGATGTAATTTAAATTTTATATCCTCTTTACGGTTTACGAATCCGTGTTGAGTTTTTACCTTAGACGTCAAGATTTTTGGAAATTAACATTTTCCAATTTATAGTTATTGGAAGCATGTTAAATTGTTAGTCAAAATTTATCCGTTCATGCCCCCCAGGAATTGATGATGTCATCTTACAACTTATTTTTATTTAAATGTTAAAAAGTAGAATGGTTCTGAACTTTGAAATTTTTCGGCTTTTCGATTTCTCTATTTTTCAACTTAATATGTTTCAATTTTTGAATATTTTAATTTTGGGCTTTTTCAATTTTTACATTCCTTAAATTTTCGATTTCTCGAGTTTTTTATTTTTCAATTTCTCAATTTTCCTATGTTTCAATGATACAATTTCTCAATTTTTGTCCTCTTCATTTTTACGATTTTATTTTTCGATTTGACGTTGTTAAATTCTCAGTTTTCCGATTTCTGAAGTAATCTTTTTTTCCCATTTCGCGACTTTCCATAGTTTCCATTTTTCACTTCTTCAGTTCTTCAATTTTTCGATTTTTCAGGCTTCTGATTTTTCAATTTTTTAAGCTTACGATTTTTCAACTTTGCTTTTTTAGTTTTTCGATGTTCCAATTTTTTAATTTCTTGGATATTTCTTTCAGTTTTGGGAACTTCAATATTTAGATTTTTCGGCTTTTCGATTTTTGGACTCCTGGATTTTTTGATATCTGGATTTTTTACTTTTTGGAATTTCAATTTTTCGTTAGACTTCGATTTTTCAATTTATCAACTTAACAATGTTTTAATTCTTCAATTTTTAAAATTCTAAGTTTTTCGATTTCTCGGGTTTTCAGCTCTTCTTTATTTAAATTTTCCAATTTTCTGAATTTTTTAATTTTCGATTTTCCAATTTTTTTTTTACAATTCTTTGATTTTTGAATTTTTTGATTTCTCGATTTATCAAATTCAGATGTTTCCATGTTTTGATTGTTCAATTTTTCGATTCATCAATTTTTCAATTTTTAACTTTTCTTTTATGCTATCGACTCGTTAATTTCTCGATCCTCTGATTTTTAGATTCTTCGATGTCTCAGTTTTTGAATTTGTCGATATTTTGATTTTTGGATTTCTCAGTTTTTCGACTTTTTACTTTTGGGGTTTTCAATTTTTTAGTTATCCGATTTTTCAATTTTTTAAATTCTGAGGTTTCGATTTCTCAATTTGTTGATTTTTCAGTTATACTATATTTAAATTTTAGATTTTCGAATTTTTGTTTTATGATGTTTGGATTTCCCAATTTTTCAATATTGTGATATTTTAATTGTTCAATTTTAGCTTTTTCGATTTCTCGATTTCTCGATTTTTCGATTTTTCAGTTCTTCAGTATTTCCATTTTTCAATTTTTCAAATTTTGACGTTTCTAAATTTTCACTTTTCCGATTTCTCAATTAATCTATTTTTGATTTTCCCATTTCTCGACTTTTCAAAGTTTCGATTTTTCGATTTCTCAATTTTGCAATTTTTTTGTTTTGCAATTTTTGGATATTTCTTTCAGTTTTGGGATTTTTCAATATTTTGATTCTTCGACTTTTCGATTTTTCGATTTCTGGATTTTTCGAGTTTTCGATTTTTTATTTTTTGGATTTTCAGTTTTTCGTTTTTTAAACTTAGATTTTTCAATTTTTCGACTATTCTATATTTAGATTTCTCGATTTTTCAATTTCTGGAATTTTCAGTTCTTTATTTTAAATTTTCAACTTTTTGAATTTTTAAATTTTCGAGTTTTCAATTTTTTGAGATCTCGATTTATCGAGATTCGGATGTTACGATACGATGTTTTGAATGTTCAATCTCTCGATTTATTAATTCTGCCATTTTAAATTTTTTGATTTTTTTTGGAAAATCGAAAAATTAAAAAATAAATTGGAAAATCGAAAATTTAAAAATTCCGAAAATTGAAAAATTGAAATATAGAAGAAATTAAACTGAAGAAATCGAAAAACCTAAAATTTTAAAAATTGAAAAGCTAAAATATTGAAAAGTTGAAAATTGAGAAATTGAAGTATAAAACGAAAAATTGAAAAATCCAAAGTTTTAAAAACGAAAAATTGAAAATCTAAAATGTAAAAAGTCGAGAAATCGAAAAATCCAGAACTCAAAAAATCGAAAAGTCGAAATTCTAAAAAAATCGCAAAACTGAAATATCGAAAAATTGAAATATTTTTCAGTTTTTCGACATTTCAGTTTCGATAGTTCAGTTTTTTTTTTGTTGAAGAAAAATTGAAGAATCGAAAAACTGAAAAATCACAAAATTGAACGAATTATCCAAAAATTGCGAAATTAAATAAAAAATTGAAAAATTGAGAAATCGAAAAGTCAAATAAGCAAAATCCAAAAATCATAAACCAAAAAATCGAAAAACTGAAAAATCAAAAACCTTGAAAACCGAAAAATTGAAGAACTGAAGAATTGAAAAATCGAAACTTTGGGAAGTCGAGAAATGGGAAAATACGAAATAGATTAATTGAGAAATCGGAAAACTGAAAATTCAGGAACCCCCAAATTTGAAAAATTAAGAAATATTGAAGAACTGAAAAATCGAAAAATCGAAAAATCTAAAATTTAAATCATTTAAAAATTAAAATATCGTAAAATTAAAAATGGAGAAATCCAAACATCAAAAAATTAAAAAAATTTAAAAATCCAAAACTGAAAAATCAACAAATCCAGAAATCGAAACTCGAAAGTTTAAAAAAATTGGAAAATTGAAAAATTGGATAATTGAAAAATCGGGTAATTCAAAAATCGAAACAACGAAAAATCAAAAAGCCAAAAAGTAAAAAATTGAAAAATCGACCAATCGAAAAATTGAAACATCGAAAAATTCAAAACCTGAGACGTCAAGAAATCGAAAAATCAAAAGATCGAGAAATCGAGGAGTCGAAAAGTCAAGAAGTCGAAAAATCGAAAAATTGAGAAAGTATGGAAAATAAATAACCACCAAAATTGTGTCTAAAATTATGTAAAAATTAATACAAAATACATAGACCACAATCCTTCCAAAACATAAAAATAACTACACTTTCCCGAAAATAATCTATTGCAAGATTATGGTTCCACTAGTATTGCTAATTTAGGACGTTTTGTTAGTGTCAAACACAATGAAAGAATTAATTATTAGTTACACAAAAAAATTGTTGCATGTCAAAATCGAGTGAAACATGTGAGATGTGATATTAGAAATTCTGAACGCTTAGAGTCGACATTGGCCTGAGTGCACTCCGGTCTGTGGATCAAATTAGTTCTCAGGCGACGAAATCTAAAATGCGAAACATTAAATTTGTCAACTAATATTTTTTGCCAAACAAAGAAATCTAAAAAAACGCCACTTTTTGACCACTTAACAAATCAAATTACCCTAGTTCAGGTTTACCAACTATTACTATATATATTGTTGAATATTGAATTTTTTTCAATTTCAATTTCAAAAGTTTACATACCTTGATAAAAGAGTAGCAGCATAATATTTAGGATAACTGTGAGGTGACGTCATGGCAGTCGGTTTTGTATCTTTATGTCTTCTTTACGTTTTATGATCCCTAGAGTACGAGTATGTAAAAATCTATATAGATCTACCGCTTTTATCTCTCGGTCTGTGTAGATGGAAAACGCTTACCAAAATTTGTTTAATCAACACCTACAACAATTTGGTGACGTCTCTTTAAATTTTTTTGGTAAACACCATTTAAATTTTATAAATTAACATACTCTTCGACTTGTGGTTTATGAATCTTCTTTGAGTTCGAATTCAAATTTTTGCAGAAAAATCCAATTTTATAACAATCTTTATATTAGTATAAGCGGCATGGGAATGATATCTCGACGGCATAGAATCTAGCAACTTTGACTTAAGGGCGAAGATTGTGCATTCCTGGAGCTTTATTTATTTCGTAAGTTGTGACTGGTATTACAAAAAAAATACATTTTATAATTTTTCGAAGAAATTGGATTGGTTGGACTTATTCAGGAGCCAGAGAAGTTCTTTCTAAATAATCTAGACCAATTTTTGATGACAAATTTTCACTTTTTTTCCAAAATTCTAAATACGTACCGTAAAAAATAAGGGCGGATTTACCTAGCAATATTTTGCGGTAACGTCATCACATTGTTAGAGGAAATAAACAAATAAACTTTGGTTAGTGTTAAAAAACCATCTACACGACAGTTTTCAATTACACCCATAATTTCAGACTAATCGGTCCAGTAGTTTTGGAGATTACGTGTCTGATAAATAAAAATTCAAATCTTAGCACTAATGTATATTTATTAGTGATAAGGATCGTTTGATAAATTATGCATATCTATCGAATTCGTCGAGAATTTAACGATCTGGAAACAACTTTACAAATTTTTCACATAAAATGTATGTATTCAAAGTATTTGGGTAAACCTTAAAAAAAAATTGGTCTCAAAAATTTTCAAGTAATAATCCATAAACATGATTTAAAATTTTAAGTGCTGCTATTCTGACGTAATTCTCACATTTATGTTCGTAAACTACAGAACAGTTTGTTGATCACCATTTGTTTATGTTAAAAAAAAAACATTGTAACATTTACGCTGAAATTTGTATGTCGATGTGAAGTTATTCTCTTTAAAACATGTCAACACTAATAATAAAGTTGAAATTTCCACTCCGTCTATCGAGTACGACTGTTAGGTAATCATTTGTCTTTTATAATTTTGTACATGTAAAGACCTGCTGCCATCCTTTCAGCCTGTCTTTGCGCAGCAAAGTAATTTGTGGAGCTTAGGTCGTGATCTTTAGGAAAACTCTGTTAGGCAAGTCGCTGAGATTAAATTTAAATATTTATATATTTCTGCGAAAGAGTAAAGTCTTGCTTAAAGAAATAAGCGCCGAGTAAAACACGAAATATGACTGAAATCATTATTCAACTAGAGGAGCCCGACGTAAAATGGAATACTTTAGCTCGACTGAGCACGTGCTCAGCTGAACATCGTGTGAAAATAGTTGCTCATTAACCCTACACCGATTAAAACGTTTTTTAAGTTATTACTCACTGCGATCTCGTCTTCTTGACGCGTGTCCATTTTCTTGATCGGTGCCGTCGGTGTGATCCTCTTCGTCACCTTCTTGAATTTCATGGTCGGACTCACTTTCATCCCATATCGTATCCGAAGTGATTTTTTGTCTTGAACACTCTATCCAGTAACCTGGAGTGGGAATGAAGTTGTGGGGGAATTCTTCGCAAAATTCATCTGGAATGATAACAATTACTTGAACAGGACTCGAACTAATTAACAGCTTTCGAGAATAATGACAATAATTAATATAACAATTTGGCGAGGAGATGGTGCTTCTTGGAAACTGCAGCGATGATTTGGTGTACAGTCCGCTCACTGTAAGGTAGAACACCAAACGAGCTAAATGTAGCTTGGTGTTCAAACTTAGAGTGACCCGACTATACACACTGTACAGCTTCTTGAATCCCTCGCTGACATTTCTGTTGCAATAAATCTTCCACTAGTGCATGTTATTCTAATGAAATACATGCACGTAAATAGGGTCTGTGCAGACTACATGCAACTGAAAAATCTCTAAAGCTAGTTACACAGAATTTCACTCACTTCAGTATAAAAATTTTTTTTAATTTCGCTTTTTGGCAACACCAAAAGTATCTCTACCAAACAGCTAAAAAGAAAATCACCAACAGGCGGAGACACGGAACCGCGAAATGCGCATTTTCGTGTTCCGTCACATCGTTGTGGTAGTAAAACTAGCATTCCAAGGCTGGACTCGTTACGGTAGCTGCAATCTATTAAATTCCGAATGTTGTGATGTATTTTACATCGTTTCAGATACGTTTACTGATATCTCGACAACTGATCAATACTTTCAACGAGATTACCTCATTTTGCCGCTTTTATAGGGCGGAGATATCCGATAGGAAGATTTCCTGGCATTTAAGTTACAAACACAATCTATACTTTATTGGTTTGTATTTGCCGCTTTTTGCTCCATACGTTAAACTGCGGGGAACTGACAAAAGGAACAGATAAAAGATGTTTACCTTTTGTAGACGATAGCAAACAGTCTGCTGAAATAGCCAGTCGCTTAAAAAAGGAATCACAATTTATTTAGACACAATGTTTCAATGTACCGATTTTTCGTGTTTGCAGTGTTAAATGATTGCACTTTTGTGGTCTAAAAAAGTCCTATTCGACGGAATAAAGGCTTTGTTATGACGAAATGTCATGAAAGTACCACTTTAATGACGACTCATTTTATTATATGAAAATAAAAAAAATCGGTGTTGCGGGGATAATTACGCTCTCTACTTAATGTAATACAATTATTCTAATATTAGGAATTTTGGAAATATACCGGGCTCTTGCACTAAGTAAGGTGATACTATAGTTGATATAGATGACTCAAGACGTCATACAGAAATTATGGAATCACTCTTATTATCAGTTGCAAAAGAATGTTGTCCTTTCTATGGACACAATATTGATAAGTATGGCAAGTAGGTTATGAAGAAAAATCAGTTCCATGAGATCCCTGAAATAGCAAATGCTTCTCAAGCTCGAAAATTGGAAGTCATATACAGGACATAGTTTTCACAATCATTGGCAAATATGCTTGTTGAACAGGAAAAAACGAACCAGAATGTTATAAAGAATCCTGATCTGTCAGCTATAGTGAGAACTAGGTTCATCCGGATTCGGAAAATTTCATAATAAATATGAACACAAAAATTTTAGAGTGAACAAAAACTTAGTTAGCGATTAATAACGTTACTACGCGTTAAAAAGGGTCAAATTTCCTGGTGGGCCTCAAAACAGTCTTACATTTTTCACAGAATGTTACAATTACAAATGCTATAAATAGACCTAAAAATATAACAGACCCATAAAAAAGTATATATGAAATAAGAGCATCTTTTTACTTTCAGAGCGTATACTCAGTGCAAAACAATAGGTCTCTCGTTTCCGTTCGTCTGTCTGTCTGTCTGTCGTTAAAAAACTGTGGATTTCTAAATATTTTGATTATTATTCCAGCGGATCCATATAGAAACCGCTGACCTTGAGATTTTTACAAAAAATTAAAAAAAATAAACGCTTCAACGTCAGATTTAACCTGTTTTCGTAAAAAAAAATGATAAAGCACGTTATACCTAATAGTTATTATAAAGAAAAAACGAAATGAGGGGTGAAATGCACTATTTTACTTTCGATTAATTTGTCCCTGTTTTTGGTATTATATAATTTTATAAGATATTTTTAGTGGGTTTGTTGGTTTTTTCTTTGAAATATAAACACTTGTTTTTAATTTTATTGAGATTAGAATTTATGATATTTTTAACCACTCCTGTGTGATGTGTGATTCATGAATCCGTGTCGAATGTTCACCCTAGAATATTCAGATTTTTGGGGAAAGAATCAAAATTGTATAACAACCTTTTACAATTGAACTTTGAAAATCTAATGCTCTGAAAAGTTGCAACCTTTTTAACATTATCGTAAGAATGGTAAATCGTTAATCAAAATTTTTTCCTTTATGGCCTCATAAAAATTGATGACGTCATTTTCTAATCATCCAGAACAAATGTTCCTTAAATTTTATAGAATTAAGTACATATTCCATGTATATGTAATTGAGAATCCGTGTTGAGTTTTTACCCTAGACATCGAGATTTTTGAAAAAAATTAAAATTATATTTTACAATTTAACTTTAAAACTGCAAAAGTGAATCAAGTGAACTATTGCAAATATTTTAAGGTTATATGAAAGATGATAAATCGTTAATGAAAACTTGTTCGTTTAAGGCCTTCCTATAAAATTATGACGTCATCTTAGAATTCTGCCACACAAATGTTCTTTAAATTGAAAAAATAACATAAATTCCTGCTTGTGTAATTTATGAATTTTTGGAAAAAATCAGCATTGTATAACAGTACTTTACAATTTAAATTTGAAATTACAAAAACCGAATATTTTAAGATAATTTGAAACATGGTAAATGGTGAATCAAAAATTGTATGTTTTCTTATATTTTTGCCGAATTTCTTCAAATTTATGAGTATTTTTGGGAAAAAACTAAGCATGAATTAGTCAACCAAATTTCAGTTTCTTTTAACCCCTGATGCTTGTAATCTGAACGTGCTAATAGTCGAATTCGGTACCTTTTTTCCCGTTAGTTATCTGCTTTAAATATATTTCGTTTTTAGAGACCTGGGGGTTGCGGGGATGTTAATTACGCCACTTTATAGGGGTTAGCAATATTAGGAAACCGCAAAATTGATTTAGAATTTTTTAAAGAACCGGAATTTGTCGGACTATCCTTCAAAGTTCTGTCAAAATAACGTTTCATAATTTTTTTACTAGCTTTGTTTTTCTTGGTAGCGTCATCAAAATTCCAAAAACAACATCATTTTTTCATTCTCTCCCGTTGCCGTCTGTCTATCTGTCGTTTGTCGTCTGTGTCGATTTTTGTCAGACAGAAACCACTGGATCGATAGTTGTTAAATCTGATATGTATGTTAGAAATATAGTGTAGATGGTTAAATGCTAAACAAAATTTTTTTGATCATCACCGCGATCAATTTATTTTAAATTTGATTTTTGCGCTTGTGGGTTATGAATCTAGACACCCAGATTAAAAAAAATCAAAATTGTATAATATCTGCGTTTTAATTTTGAAACCGAATGCCCTGAAATTTTGCAAACGTTTTAAGGTTATTGTACGCATGGTAAGTCTTTTATCCTTTCCCAAAAAATTGATAGCGTCATCTTACAATTTGGTCAAATATATGTGATTTTATGGTTTATGAATGTGTGTTAAGTTTTTACACTACACATCCAAATTTTTGAAAAAAAAAAAATCAACATTGTATAACATTTTATAATTTAACTTTGGAAGCGAAAATCCGATTGGTTGGAAGCTTTAGGGTCGAACTTTTATATTTTAGTATTGATGACTAGTATAAATTTAAAAATTGCTCTCATGTTATTAGTCAGAAGTCCCTAAAGTACAATTAAACAAATCTAGTCTGAGCCATCGTGTGCTTTCTGAATGTTCCTCTATGTTAGTACAAAATGCTATACGATTTTGATTTTTTTTCGAAAAATTGGATGCATAGAGTAAAAAAATTAAGGCAGATTTATAAACCACAAATATGTCATTTTATAAAATTTAAATCGCATTTACCATGCAAAATTTCGAGCTGACGTTAGCAATGTGGTGGGTATGATTAGACAAATTCAGGTTAGATATTTCTAAACAACCTATAAAATTTAACAAAAATCGGTCCAGTTGTTTCGAAGATTTCTGTCAAATAAAATACGTCGGAGACGACAGACGATAAACCACAGGTGACAGATGATAGACCGACGATAAACGGAAACGGGAGACCTTTTATTCTTACTTTATTTATTAAAAGAGTTGACCTGTAATTATATACTGGATTATCAACATCATTAAATTTTTTTAATGTAAACTGATATCTAAACATTCAGTTTCATGGAATATATATTTCAGTTTTCGAGGAAAAATTATTTTAACTCTGCGGGAACCAATATAACGTTGCAGTAACTGAAAGTAAGTAAACAAAATGAATCTAATTAAACAGTGGTGTGAAAGAAATTCTTTGTAATATAAATCGTTTTTGGCTTAATCGATGAAATAAATTGCTTTATTCGCGAACTACTCTGAAACATTCTGTACAACTGTAAACTAGTTATGTGCAGAAATAAAGGAGCACGTCAACCTACAAGTTTCAAGGAAGATTATTTAACAAAATTTTCAGATGGAAGAGACGAACAGATGAATTCAATTTAGCGATTTACCATGTTCGCGATAACTTTAAAATATGTACAAAATTCCAGAACAAACTAGTTGAAGTAAGTTTCTAAGTTAAAATGTAATATTTTACCAAAAATCTACAGACATAAAATGAGGTGAACTAATAAAAGTAAGAACCATATTATTTTGTATATTTTAAATAGGAATTACTTAGAAAATTTTCAGATGACGTCATCAGATTTTTATGGGGATAATGACACAATTTTGGTTTTCTATTTTATAAGTAATAAAAAATGAAAAAATAAAATTTTTCTGGATTCTTTTCGTTATACTACTGTGTATAGAAAAATAAAATTTAAAATACGACGCGTTGTCTATTATGTAGCAACGTTAGTTAGTAAGAAAGCGGATAATGTTTAAGTTGTTAAAAGCTTTGATCCGTAGATGCTCTTT